ATAATTTTCAAATATAAGTGGTGGAAGGGTACAAAACAAGATGGCTCCCAAATATTATATGTCTTAGTGGGTTGATGAGGAAGGGGACAGAGCTTGACTTTTCTTAGTGATAGCTCTAGCTTCCAATCCATGGCAAGACTTCAAACATGACTCTCCAAACATCAAAAAGTGCTTGGGCGAGATGGATTACTCAACAGTACATATTCACTTCTCTCATCTAGAGTTGTGTTCTTTTGTAAGATTTAGCTAATAGCAGCAGATCTCTGGCTGACTGTACCATACTCATTCTTAGTGCAGCATTTCACTCCTGAGTATTATTCCTGGTTTTAGCTGTATTCTTCAGTGCATCTGAACTTGAACTCAGAACCCTGGGGACATTTTGTAAGTTTTAGGATGTTGCTGGGGAGGGGAAAGGAGTGACTGTGGGCCTCGGCAGACAGCTTATTAAGCCGTCCTCGAGGCAGGGAAGAGGAGGGGCAGCTGCATGCTTGGCGCCCCTTCCTCCTCCCGAGGTTGCCCTCGGAGCCGCTGGCCTTCTGCACGGCTGGCGCTCCGGGGGCAACCTCCCGCCACAGTGTCCACACACGCTGTGGCGGATAATTCAGCGAAAGTGCGCCTCACGCTTTTGAGGCGCACTTTCACTGACTTGTGAAAGGAGCGCTATTTTAGCGCTCCTTTCAGGGACGGGGAAGGAGTGCCGCAGGATCGAGGCATGGGGATGCCTCGATCCTGTGGCACACCTTCCCAGGGCAGCCCCGTGCTGCCAGTCTGCTTCCCCCCTGTGTTAGGCTGTACAAGTCCATTACCTTCTCTCCCTGCACTTTCTGTACCATTTATACATCAGTGCACAGTTTCTTACTGCACTAGTGAACCACAAAGAGCAGAGTACAGAAAGGTGTGTGAACTGACAGAGCCAAACCCTCAGCTGATGTCATTTTTTTTTAGCAAATTTTACTTTTTTTAAGGTGGCTAACATACAGAAACACAGACCCAAACCTTTTTTTGGATACCCATAGCTGCTTTTCATTCACACAAGTGCACACACAAAGTTATAGTCATTTGGTTTCTATTGCAATTCAATAAAGGATCTGCAGGCCCAGATTTTTGAATTTTCAATCAGGATCCAAATTGGCTCAGTGTTGGTCTGAATCAGTATGAACTGAAGCAGTGTCCAACCTAAATAGGGAGTGGAGGCTTGCACAGCTTTAATAATACATGATTTGTCCTGTGGACTTTCCAGGAAAATCTTAGCTACCACATTATAGTAGACCCCTCTGTGTATTCATGCAGAATGCTCATAATATTTTGAAAACTGAAGTGTCCTTAACAAGGGTACAGACAGATTTTATTTGGCTCACATTTTAAAGAGAACTCTCCTAATTTGCATTTCCCAAACTAATAATGTATATCGGGACTTAATCTTTCAATTTCAGGTGTTTCTAATGTTGTACTGTAGTTGTTTGCTCAAAAAACTGTGTACAAAATGTGTGAACTAAGGAAAGTTACCTCCAAAATGGACTTCCAAAATATCTATATTAGGAATGGCACATATAAACATTTAAATATTAAGAAAAGGTGTGTTGAAAATATGAGTTGTATGGAATAATAGCTGTCAATCCCCATGCCTATTTTTTGTACAAAAATGAATAAATTTCTGCCTGATGCTGAAGTTGCAGAGAGTGGACTTATGATTAAGAATGTGATTTGTACAAACATTAGAATGTATGTGTGTGTGTAAGAATGTTTTTAAAAAAATTCCCAATAAAATTTTTATTAAAAAAAAGAAGAATTTGACCAACAGACAGGGGCCACAAACAAGATGCTTTAAAATACTTTTCTTAACTTTCATTTATTCATTTTTGAATTCAAGAGTAATAAACAAATCAATTCCACAAATTGACAATGCAAATTATAAAACTGTGACAAATACAATCATGTACATACTAAGGATGGAAAGAATATTGACATTCTTGAAGGAGAAAAGAAAAAAAGAAGAGCTTTACAGGTGCCCCCCCCCAAAAAAAATTGAAGAAAATCCTCCTCCAGCCTTTTTCTCAGTTCCTCCTCAATCTTTGAACAGTCTCAGCTCCAGTCGTTGCTCTGTGTGTGTGTATATATGTGTGGAAGAATTAGAAAAGCACCCCAGATCATTACAGCCTTCCAGATCCCTTTTTTAACCTGTCACCACCATGCATGGTCGGGGATGGGGAAAGGCATACAAACATCATGGAAGGTTACAGACATCCCTATCCTTGTTTTCTTCTCCCCTCCTGATGTCATGATGGGGCACCTGTGGATATGGAATACTTCAATATTCCACCCTTCCACTGTAAGATAGGGTTGAACATGGACCTCCTTGAAAGCTATGTATTTTTTAAGGGACATGCAGCAAGTAGAAAATTAGTTGCCCTATTATTCTCCCTTGTAGGAATGAGTAAATTAAACAACACATCTCTAGTATGTACATTATCAAATTGACTATAAATAATCTAACCATCCAGTCATTCATGTGTAAAGTCTATTACTTGCTGGTTCTATTTCTATGAGAAGTTAATATCCAGTTGAGCTGTTCTGTAACAGGGTTTTTGAAAAAGAAACCAATATTAACTTTTTTTTTAAAGATAACTAGAACTTTTTACATTTGAAATCCAGATTTGAAATTAGGGATGCAATTCTTCATTATACTTCTTTTTGAAGGAAGCAAGGAGTTATTTTAACTGTTTTCTTCCTCCTGAAAAAATGTCTTTGATAACCACACAGATTTCAAAGACTATTTGCATTTTGAACTTATTCTGTGCAAAATTCAGAAATGATTATTTTGTACAGAAAACAGCCATTTTTGCTCAGGAAGCAGCATTTTGGGCAGAAAATAATGTTTTTGTGCATAAATATTTTTTATTGAAAGAAAAATGCTGTTTCTTGTGCACAAAATGCTTTCCTTGCAAATCATCCACATGCAAATTTTGTATAGAATAATTCCCCAATTACAGCATTTTTTTCCTTCAGAACACAGGGGTTCTGCACAGAAAATAGTGTTTCTGTGCAGAAATATTATTTTATGCCTAGAAAGTAGTATTTTCTACAAAAGACATCAAACAAAAAACAACAACACAGAATAGGCTACAAATTGCAAAGATTCCTTTCAGGCTAGGAAAAAACACTTGGAAAACATTTTTGTAAAATCAGTTTTACCTATTCTTACCATTGCTCATCCCTCATTATCATTCCAGAGAATGGCATGAAGTTAGAGACTCAGGACTAAAACACACTGCAGAAATAATCCAGTTTGAGAATGTTTTAACTGCTCTGATTCAGTAATAAGGAATCTTGGAGGTTGTAGTTTATTGTGACACAGAGCTTTCTGACAGAGAAGGCTAAATGTCTAACAAAATTACAGTTCCCAGAATTCCCTAGCACTGAACCAGGGCAGTTAAAGTGGTCTCAAACTGGATGTGTTTGTGCAATGTGTTTGAACCTAATACTGCTGATATATTGATTAATTAATGGAGTTAATGACATCAATGACATCACTTTAACTGCCATGGATCCATCCTATAGAATCCTGGGACATGTAGTTTGTTGTAGCAGGAGAACTCTCAGACAGAGAAGTCTAAATATCTCACAAATCTACAAGTCCCAGAATTCCATAGCACTGACCTATGGCAGTTAAAGTGGTGTCAAAATGCTATAATTCTGCAGTGTACATGCAGCTTGAGAATGCAAAACTGTAAATTTTTACTCAGAAGTAAGTTTCATTGTGATAAATGCAGTTTATTAAATGGTAAGTAAGTAGAAAATGGCAAAATTATATGTTAAGATTAGTAAAGTGATTAATAAGTACAAACCAAAGACATGGCAGAAGTATAAACACAAGGCATTCCCCAGAAGGATAATTTTGAGAGGAATTTCTGAGATCAAATCCATTTCAATTCTGGACAAAAGTATAATTAATTAATTTTTGCATATAGTATTCATTCTTGCTATTCCTTGTATCCTGGGCCCTATCTGCATGGGCCAAATAAAACATCCCTTCCATCCTCTTGGTGTGAAGTCCAAATGAGGCACTGTCCAACCCCCTTTCTGGTGTGAAGGTCTGGATGACATCCAGTCAGTTCAGTACCAACTCTGGGGTATAACTGACAACAGACAGAATTGAGGCACCTCCCTTGGAAACAGGTGGAAAGGAGAGACAGAGTTGGGTATCATCAGCATACTGATGACACTACATTCCAAAAGTCTGGATGACCTTTCTCATCAGTTCCATACAAAGATTAAACACCACATGGGACAAAACAAAACTCCAAGAGGCCCCACAGTCCAACAGCCAGGACACTGAATAGGAGTCTCCCAGCACTTCTAGTTCATCCTTCCAAGAAAATCTGGAACCAATGAATAACAGTGCCCAAAGTCCCATCCCAGAGAGTTGGCCCAGGGGCATCTCATGGCTAAGTATTGAAAGCTGCTAGGAGGTCCAACAGGAACACACTCTTCCTGTTCATTGGTTATTGACCAAGACAACCAACATAGTATCTGTCACATAACCAGGCCTGAAACCAGATTCCAGTGAAGCTAGATTATCCATCTCATCCAGAAACCCCTGAAACTGGGAAGCTACCACTCAGTCCATAATCTTGCTCAAGAATGGAATGAAACCTCCCTTGATGCAGTGATGCATTCACTACTCCCCTTACACACTTATCTAATCCCCTTCTAGCTGCTTTCAGGAACCAGGAAGGGAAGAGATCCAGTACACATGTGGTGACTCTTACTTCTCCAAGGATCCTGTCCACATCTTCAGGTTGCACAAATTGAAATGTAATCCAATAGTACAGAACAAGTAGGTTCCAAAACATCCGCTGGACCTGTCTCAATTGCAGCATCCAAGTAAGATGAACTATCATATTGTTTTTTAAGCAAGATTTCTTCAGAGGATGCTTGCTATTGCCTGATTCTGAGACTGAGAGGGTGAAACTTGTCCAAGGTCACCCAGTGGGTTTCCATGGTTGAGCAGAGATTTGAACCCTGGTCATCCTGGAGTCCTAGTCCAACATTCAAACCACTATGCCACACTGTCTCCCTAAGTCAATACAGGCAGGCAACAATTCTACACAAAAGTGAGCATTTTTTTGTCCTCTCAAATCCATTGAGACATTAAATTCTGCACTGAATAGATCTTCCACTGCACCAACACACAGGTAAATGCACTCCTGTTTAATCTTTCACTGCACATAAACAGCTCTGTCATGGCTTGCAAATATTTTTCTATCCTTTTTAGTTGAGGTGAAAAGTTTTATGCAGGCAAAAGTGTGGATGTGTTGAGCAATGTCTCCACTGATATGAATGTGGTAGCCAGCCTGCACATAGCAAAACACTGTGTGCCCTGATGTACAGACTGTACATTGGAGCATAAATATTATTTTTGTCCTGAAGATACAGCTCCATGTTAAATGGTTAATGTCATATTCCTATTGACATTGCTTTCTTTCCAAACTTTATACCTAGGGCTTGACAGATTTTATGAAGTTACTCCCCCTCCCCTCAGAAATCTATATAGTTCTCCCTTTATTTCTGTCTACAGTTAATCTGAAATAAAGGTTAACGCTCAAGAACCAGTTCCATAATATTTATACAGTGAACTCGAACTTGGAATGAAACACACTTGTAAAAACAACAGTGGCCTTTTCCTTGTGTAACATAGGATGTGGTCAATCACTTGGCAATTCAATTTTGGCACATCATGAACTATTTATTTGTTAAGTCCAGTTCTCGAGGCTGCTGAAGTCCAGGGAGATTTTTCTCTTTTTCCTTTTCTTCCTTTCCCTTCTCCCATCCCTCCCTTTCTCCACTCTTTTTCCTGGAAACGATTATGAACGCTAATGTTTATTTCTCACTCCAGCTAGTACCATTGTATTGATAAATATTTAAAGATGGTGAAGTTCCATCAATACCATGCCCTATGGTTTCTTTAAAAGGTGTTTTATTACTCAGCAAAGTGTACCACAGTCAATGAAAGGAGAAGAAGGAAAACCACTTTGTGCTCCAAGATGACATGCAATTCAATTTCACTTCAGAGAGAGGGGAAAGGGGAGCACAGGGAAAGCAAACTCATCAATTTACAATGTAAACAAATCTATATGAGGTTGTTTGAATATTGGGTCATCATGCATATTGTGATGTGGAAAGGAAATTCAACACAGGAAATAAAAGAGCATAAAGAATATTCTAGGAACATTCTTTCCATATCAAAATGAAATCCTTTTCCCCCCAACCACCTCAGTCTACTTCATTGTGTGTAACTAATGATCCTTGAATAGAGAGGGTGGATGGCTACAGGGAACACATAGCTCCCTTGTTGCAAGAGCTCCCCTGGCTGTCGATCTGTTTCCAGTGCTGAAATTCAAAGTGCTGGCAATTACCTATAAAGTCCTATATGGATTGGGCCCAGGCTATTTGAAGGATCATATCTCTCTTTATGAGTCCATTAAAGCTCTAAAATCTTCAGGAGAGGCCTTTCTATCTGTCCAACTACTTTCCCAGATTCATTTAGTGGAACAAGGAAGATGGACTTCTCAATGGCTGCTCCCAGACTTTGGGACTCCCTCCCTAGGGAAACTAGGATTACCCTTCCTTTCTCTCTTTCTGCCAGCAAGTCAAAACATTCATGTGCAATCAACTTTTAGAAACTCATTGAAATGGAGACTGTTGTTTTGCATTTTGCATATAGCCTTTTAAGGAGTTTTAATTGTTTAAACTTTATAAATTGTTGAATTGCCTTTTTTTAACAGAAATATAATTCTTTATTTTGTCAATAATAGCCATCACTCAAATGATCTCCTTACATATGCTTGGAGTGGTCTTGGTTCGGCACCTGCAGGCCTGAACCTAGGTGGAAGGGTACAGTCATTCCATACCTCATGGGAATGGTTCAACACAAGCTTTCTGTGGATGACACAGCTCACGCAATGCTGAAGCTTCACATGGAGTTTGAGTAACACATATGAGTCAAAGACACTTGTTTCAGAGATGTCTTAGACTGCAGCTGCCTCTACAATGTTTTAGATGACAAACTTCTTAATAGCCTTATCCTTGGGTACACAGTGGGCACAACTGGTTCAGTGAATAGGCCAGACATGCCCACAGCCCATCTTGGCACAGATGTTATTCCTTCTGTTCTTCATCCCATCATCCATGTTCCCAGAAGGATAAATTGTTGAACTGTCTTTTAGGCATGCTTTATATATATATATATTTATTAATGTATTGCTATAGTTTTAATCTGTATTGTTCTTAACATGCTGTAAGCTGCTTTGATTCCCATTATTGTAGAAATGGTAGGATATCAATGAATAAAAAGGCAAATAAAACCAGATTCATGTTCAATAGTATGTAATCTTCAAGTTCTATCCATCCTGGATTTGAGAATTTTTGTAAATTCTTTAAAAATGGATGAAACAAAATGCTCTTCCATCCCCAAGGGTGTTGACCAAGTAAAGCAATTACATGCCCACAGAGGACCAGGTTGCAACTGCCTCCCATACAGAGGTTACAGATGAAGAGTCTTGCAGGGTGAAAAAAGAAGAGACTGTGACCAGGAAAAAGAAAATATCAACCCTAGTAGAGCATTGACAGTGATTCAAAGCCAGTTTTTTAAGCTTCCAAAACCCAGGGCTTGGATGAACATTGAAAAATAAAATCTCAAGTCCTTTTCCATCTTGAATATGAAGCTATTTCCAAATTTGGGGGATTCTTATAAAAAGCAAGCTGAAATTAAATCCCAACCATCTGTAGCTTGAATATAGATGAACATTTCTATCCACTCCCTTTTCATTTACTATATTTTCTCAGTTTAAGAGAAACATCAACAAGGCACATCTCTGTTGTCTATATGCAGAGCACCTTTGGTGGATGTGGTAACTGTAGGAAAGAAGACTTTAGATGAAAAATACTCTTGGATTTTGTTCCAAATGCAAATGAAACGGTTGAATGACTTGTCTTACAGTGAGGTTGTTCTCTTCTGTGACTTGTCTTACAGTGAGGTTTTCTCTATTGCTCCAGGATGTGGACATCAAGATTCAGAAATGATTGTGCTTGCATGCACATGTGCACACATGCGCACACACATCCATCCCTGATACACAAGAATGCGATGGACTTGACTGATGTGTAAAAAGCAACTCTTGCCAGTTCTTCTTGAAACATGGTCATCTTTAGCATGGTAGTGATAAGCACAGTAAAAGATTCCATCTCTTTATCTAGGCTGGGGTGAACATGAGCACCAATTTTCAGCTCTAGGATTCCTCCAAGGGCAGATGGCCAACCAAGTATCTGGAAGTTATGTACTGTGAAAACAGACTTGGGGGTGCACACAGTCCCAGGGTGAAGCTTTGTCCACCCACACTCTTGATATTTATGCTAGAATATCTGTAGAGAACTCATACTCTGTAGATTGAGGGAGATGCTATCACCTTAACCCATTAACACAAATTCATTCTCCATTCAACAAGTAATTGTAAAAGTCTGCTACTGCTTGTCTTCAAAAGGAATACCAGCAATCACACCTGGAAACCTCAAGACCAGAATCTTGGACAGAAATAATGGCCAATGTTCATGAAGCCTTTCTTGTGCTGTCTCAATCATTTTATTCTATGCCTTATTCAGCAGGTCAGCCATTTCTTTTCTCATTGAAGTTTAAATTGTGCTTTTGAAATCGTATTTCTGAGAAAATGTATTTGATGGCATTTGAAAGCACCAGAGCACAGAAAAAATAATCCCGTGTGTGATCAGTCACATAGCACAAGTACTGTATATTAAAAAAAAATCCAAAGTCAAAGAGTCAGAAGTTCACATGCAATATATTTTATATGGGGCACAAGGGATTTTCATAACAGCAGCTGTGGTTAGGAATGGTATGTTTTGCGTTTACTGTATGAACTGTAAGGGAAAGCTTGCAAAAATGGGGTGTATTAATCAATCCATCATTCATGTAGCTTTATTATTGTTATTATTAAGTGCATAACTGAATCTGCCTTATTCTGAATTAAATGAAACTGAATTAACAAGCGCAAAGAGTTTGTCGTCTTACATTGGACTACAGTTGGCCACTATGGAAAAAGTCCATAAAGATGACTTCATATTAGATAAGTGATTTCCAAACTATGCCCTGGACAACCTTGGGGTTTCATGGGAAAGCCATCTGGAATTCATCACTTAGAAAATATGAAATACTTGGCAAATAGTTGAGACTACCAGGCTTTGGAACTGCTACCTCCTAGTTTAAACAGTCTATGGCAAGGCAAGTCTCTCTCATGTGTAAGCCCATCACCACAGGTTTAAGTGGAAGCAATATCACCAAGATTTCATAAACTTCCCAGTACATTAATTGTCACACAGTATCCTGTGGGAGTTATACCAGGCACTCTGGAGCATACTGGACACTAGACATGATCACTGGCTTCCTTCATTCTGTTGTTGTTTGATGTTGTTAACATGATCTTGACTCATGGCAGCCCTATGGATGAGATATCTTCAAAACCCTCTGTCCTCCACTGTTCTGCTTAATTCCTGCAAGCTCATACTCATGACCTCCTTGATAGAGTCCATCCATCAGCATGTGGTCTTCTTCTCTTCCTACTTCCCTCCACCTTCCCCAGCATTATTGTTTTTTCCAAAGAGTCCTCTCTTCTCATGATGTGTCTAAAGTAGGACAGCCTCAGTTTGATCATCTTGGCTTCCAGGGAGGTTTCTGGCTTGATCAGTTCTAAGACCCATTTGTTCGTCATTTTGGCTGTCTGTGGGATCCTCAGCACTCTTCTCCAGCACCACATCACAAATGAATTGATTCACTTCCTATCATTTTTCTAATTGTCAAGCTCTCACATTCATACATAGTAATAAGGAATACAATGGCTTGCATGATTCTAACTTTTGTGCAGAGTTGTATATCTTTGCACTTTAGAATCTTTTCTAGTTCTTTCATAGCCATGCTCCCCTTTCTTAGTCTTCTTCTGATTTCCTGAAACCAGTCCCCATTTCTATCAATGCTTGATACCAGGTATGGGAATTCTTTTACTATTT